TCGCTAAAGTTTCTTCGGAAAGAATTTTTACGAAAAATTAACTAACGAATGGAGGTGTAACAATATTGTACTGAGCTTGCTGCACAATATCTACCATGGTGTTCTAAACGGTTCCTGAATACCTCTGCGTGTCATTTGGAGACTTCCATGCTTTTTGCGCTTGGTCCTTAAGCTCGTGATTCGCTGACGTATTTCAGTCACCTTACCACTTTAAATCACTTTTCGCAGCCCCAATGCTAAAAGAGTGTGGGAAATGTTTTCTTTTTAGCCAATGAAAATGCCCAAAAATTTCAGTTCAAATTTAGTATTTGTTGTTTTTTCAACAAAAATGTTCCCCACTGGCTCGTGGGCCTGTTAAAATTATCTTGTAAAAAGGCCATGACATTTCGGAGAAGTTCTAAATTTAGTCACCTAAATTTTAGGGTGCTTCAAGTACGTCACATTTCTAAAAGTCATTGTATCGATTTTATTTGTAAACTTAAATCATTAATTGTGAGCAAAACATAAATTTAGCGTCACTCTGTATAGAGCTGTTCGCCAAAGGCCAGACATCTACAGTTCATTTTTACCCTGCTCAATAGAATAATTAACTTGCAATCAGTTTGATATTCAAAGTTGAATATGCAAATAAATGTATTTATTTATTACAGTGTAGTTTCGCACAAACTAAAATACTTTATTTTGAAATTTCAAGGACAAACAGTGTAAAAACGGTTTATCACATGAATAACAAAATAAGGTATTGAAAGCTACAAAAGATATCTGTAAGTATCATTTGTGTATTAGATTTATTACTCTCTAAACAACTAGATGTTTATAATTTCTAACAGTCAATCACCGATTTTCATGGGGTTTTTACGTATCTGCTTGTTTGATAATTTCCCGTAAAAATTCTTTCCGAGAAACTTCAGCGATACAAGTCCTTTCTTAATTAAAACTAGTTTATTCTTTCTCGTTACAAACTTTGTAATACACTTAATTTCCATAGTCACTTTAAACTTAACTACTTTTATAAACACACGCTATAATTCACAGCGATTCACACATTTTACTTACGGTGCCTACTGCTCGCTTGATTCGATTCTCAATTATTTCTCTTCAATCTATCTCGGGCTTATATACTAAAAAGAGGGCGTCTAGCAAACGCTGGGACATTCGTAGGTTGCCCGTTAAGTCACGATCCTTCTAGAAACTCCAGCGTTCTCCCAGCGTCGCGTGACTTCCGCTGTCGTAACAGGGTCAAAAGAAATATACAACCTTACAGAAAGCTAATTAAGTCATAAAGGAATACCTAGCTTACAGGAAGATAGTTACGTCAAAAAATAATATATAATGTACAGGAAGCTAGTTAAATCATAAAGCAAAACCTAACTCACAGGAAGCTTGTTAAGTCATAAAGTAATACGTAATTTGTTGGAAACTAGTTATACGTCGTAATTTAATAGTTAACTTGACTCTTCCGAATTCTTACACAGAGAGTGTAAATTGTTAATTGAAAAATACCTGATATATCATATATCGTAAAGTAGTATCGAGTGGATCATTATTCTGGCTGACGTTTTGTTAAAAATATTTTATCTATTTCAACTATCACATATCACTCAGTTTACATAACGTAATATTACCGAAACTTAGAACTGAGAAATTGTTTACGACTTTTCAAGGTTTCTCGTGAATTAAAAAAAAAAAAAAGAAAAAGAAAACGGACAATAGGGTGCGTCTATTTCGTAGCAGCCAGGCTAGCAACAAGCCAGCTGGGTTGTAGGAACACGTGATAAAATGGATATTGGCCAGAAAATCGAAATACTTACTCGTATGTATAATATCTTCTAGTTATCAAATAAGCCTATTTATCTGTAGCTTATCTAGTGGTGGTTGGTGAGACTTTAAGTTGTTTATATCTATAATTCCCAAGATTATAAAAACACTAATAATACATAACATTACTGTTATGTATAAAGCACATACAAAACAAGGGTTAAAATGTCTGCAAACCACAGAAAATAAATGAAAAAAATTCTAACGCTAATAAATAACTGAATATGTGAGGAAGACCTACCTTCTTTATCATAAAGTTTATGAATGAATTGGATACTAGGTGCCACCTGCTCCAATCTATATAATTTCTCTTTCTTTTAATTGACACATTTGTACATAAGAATAATTAATTTCTAGCATAATATGCTGACATCATTGACAGTAAGTGGACATGGCACTGCATATTTTCCGTGAGATTTTATAAGATAAGCGTCAGCGTGTGAGACAAGGTCAAAATGTATAAACCTCACAATCTAGGCGTGAGACTCGGGTATCTGTGTTGTTTTTAAAAACCTGTTTTTTAAAAATTAATAAGCTTAAAAGATTGAAAATAACAAGGAATGTAAGTAATTTGTTTTTGTGACACCTAACTAAAGTAAAATTGAACAAAATATGTATATTTCTGGAAAAAGCAATCGTATGTATAGCGAAATATAAAAAGTTCCATAGAAACATATACATTTCTACTCTAGCCAGTCAACTTCTTTTCTTATATAAAATTTGTTTACCCATGCATTACAATGATTAGAGACGTTCCATCAAGGCTATACATTTAAAAATTAAGAGTTTAATTCTTTATCATTGTATTTTAATAACCTACATTTCTATATTTATTTTCTTAGTTTAACTTTTGGACACTGCATAGCAGCATATTCTACCTAAAGTTAAATAAAAACCACTTCAAGAATCGCCTAAACGTCATGCTCAAGACGCCATTTAGCAAATAAAACATCTAAATTAAAATATTAAAACATATCCTACAATAATGTATATTTTCGTTTTGAGTTTTCTTACTGATTAAGTATATTTTATTACCAGTTATAGCTTTTACAGTACCTGTTCTAAATACAAATTTTACTTATTGTAAAAGCTGTAGCTTGTAATGAAACGTATTGTTACGTCTCCGTTTGTTAATTGATTTTTCCGTAACTTCGTTCCAACGAAACTTTAACGACACAAG